CCATGACAAAAATTTTTGCAAAGGTATTACTTGATGTACTTTGAGATTTTTGCAAGTGTTAACAAGGGTTTTTGCTGACCTACTATTAGAATCTTTTTCAGCTTCTATCCTGTTGGTCTTAAAGCATGGGTCCCTTTACTCTGATATGCTAAGGGGCTAATGAGGATGTGTGATTCTGGCAGTTACACAATTCTTGGCCATCATCTCACTTTGACTACCTAAGAACTGTTAACCAAAAGGAATGATGAGAAATTGGAGTATGCCTTCAACAAACCTGGTTAACTTTACATCTCTTGGTAAATCATTGAGGAAACTTTGTAAGGTGTTGTTGGACAGTAGGATCTAAGGAAGGTGGAATAGGTTGCATGGCTTCAAAAGTGCAGGTAACACAATAAGTCACATTTAGGAAAGGACACAAGGATTCTTTAAATAAAAAATTCTGCATAAAGAGTAAGCCTTTGTATAGAATAGCACTAAAGGTGCTAGAAAAATTTAAACTTCAGAAACTTTAAATATATATATATATATATATATATATATATATATATATATATAAATAAGAAAATTTTTCTGAACTTCCCAATAGAGAATAACCCTTGTGAAAACCAATAGCTCTCTCTATGTGATCCTTTTCAAAATTCGATGAAATGAAAGACAAACTGTGCATGAGTATGAATTACAATATATCTGTAAAACTGTGATCTCTGCTCCATTTCATTTAAGAAGAACTTCTATCTTGATACTGAATTGACCTCAATCACTACAAGTGGCTTATTCAAGTTTGTTCTACTTCTGCCTTCTATCTTACAGACATAATGCGAATTTAACAGGAGGAAATACTGGCTAATAAAATACAAAAATTGTGGCTAAAAACAAAATTTAAAAAAGCCATATTTTATGGGTTTACCTTAGAGTTTGTTCTACTAATTTTTGAAAACAAGTTCTTATCAATCATGCTGTATGATTTTATTTTCAGGAAACTTGTAAATATGGAAGAAACACAGTCAACATGCATATGACTAAACAGGAGCCTTAATTCACCAGCTTTTCAGACAGAAATCCATCCTGAATTTGAATAGCAAGAGTCTTGTCAGTGAGAATCAAGATAACCAGAGAGGGTTATACAGAAAGACCTCTGTTAATTCTAAATTTTTCCCAGTTAATGATGGGGAAATAGAAATGTTTGAGGAGACATTATATTTAACCTGATTTAAACATTACACAATGGATTCATGTATCAAAATGCTGTATGTTGGGGCTGGGGATGTGGCTCAAGCGGGGCGCTGGGTTCGATCCTCAGCACCACATAAAAATAAAATAAAGATGTTGTGTCCGCCGAGAACTAAAAAATAAATATTGAAAAAATTTCTCTCTCTCTCTCTCTCTTTCTCTTTTAAAAAAATGCTGTATGATATCCATTAATATGTATAATTGTTATGTTTTTATTGCCAGTAAAAATAAATTTAATTTTTAAAAAAGAAAAAAGAAATAGTGGAGTACAGGAGACAGAGAAGATGACATAAACATCGCAGATAGGGATAAAGCAAAAACATTTATAGATCAAGGGGCAGACACACACACAAAAAACAGAAGCCCCAGGTTGTGTGTCTTCATTTCTTCCACTCCAGAAGGAATCTTCTCTCATCTGTATTTTAGCTTATTTTTCCAAACTTTTGAGACATTTCATGTTATCATTTTTCTTTATTTTTCTGTGTAATAAGACTTCCACTGAACTGATAATCCTAATCAACAATTAAACATGTTCATTTCTCTTTCATCTTACATTTTTTCCTCCTAATTTCTCATCAGCCCTCAATTGCTACTGTATCATTTTTTGCTCCTTCACAATAAAACATGTTCAAAGAGTTACCTTAACGTATTGACTTAATCTTCTCTCATCTACAGTTTCTCGATCACTGGCAAAGAAGTCTTGGGGTCATAGAATTGGTGGAGGGTCCAGTGGATTTTTAATAAACTTTCTTCTAACACACCACTTTTATTATTTGTCTACAACTTTTCTGGTTATTCTGTCAGACTCTTACAGTTTTATCTTTTTCTACTGAGTCATTAAATGTTAGCTCTTAGACTTTGTCATGGGCAATTCTTTCTCCTAACTCTATACTCCTATCCATGGCCATGGTTCCAACAATCATTTGTAGACTAGTGACTCACAGATTTAATTTTCTGTCCAGACCTCTCCTCTGAGCTCAACATCCATATGTTAAATTGAAAACTGCACTTTAATGTTTCGAAGGCATTTTCATCACTGCACTCAAGCCTGAGCTCTTAATATTTTCTATTAAACCTGCTCTCCTTGTATTGTTTACTATTTCATTGGAAGATAAGTTCTATCCAGTTGCACATCAGAAAATGAATATTCATTTTTTGACATAATTTTTACTACTGGTATTCAATCAGTTACAATTTTTTTCCTACTTATATCTTATGTATGTGAGTTTCTTTTTTTCTGACTCTAGTATCATTTTTCTTTTTTAGTTTTGAGGATTTATCTCAGGGAAGCTTTACCACTGAGCCATATCCCCTTGCTAACTTGCTGAGGCTGGCCTCAAACTTGTGATGCTCCTGCCTCAGTACCCCCAAGTCACTGGGATTACAGGTGTGTGTCACTGAGCCTGACTGACACTAGTGTATTTCATCCTAGTGATTATGATGTCTTGGATGTGTAAGTGGCCCCTGCAATCATTCCTTAACATAGCTATAATGGCCCATAGAATTTTCCAACTGTTGACCTTTCCAATGTAGACTTCCAGTATTTAGCCATCCTCTTTGCTTGTTTGTTCTATACACACTATCTATGATGTGTCTGAATATGCCATGGATCTTCCTACCAGTCTTTTCACATACTCTTCCCTCTGCCTAGAACACATGCCTCTAGCTTTGTCTGTTTCTTTGTTTTTTCTAAGTTCACCACTACACAGTTTTCAATGATCATGGGCCAGGCTAATGTAATTTGCTTTTGCATCATATTTCTCTCATTTCCAGCAAAACTAAAAAAATTTAACTATTCCCTCATTAGTGTCAGAGACTGTCAATCTCTCTCATTAAACTGCATACACACAAGAATGAGAAATTTATGTAATTTTGGATTACCATTAAATTCTAGAAGCTTAATATAGTGATATGGATATAATAGGCACCATTTTGTTAAATGAATAAACAAATTAAACAGGATTTAAAAAGAGAAGAAATGCAAAGAGAAATGAAAAAAATAAGAACTATTGAAAGAAATCTTAGCAGATAATATTTTAAATAATGATGTATAATATAAAATATATAATCTACAATGTAGTCCTAGTCTCATACCATCATACTACTGTAACCTTGAACTCTTGGAGGATATTGCCTATAAGTAAAAGCACATTTTCATTTTTGCGTAGAGATAAATTGTAGAAAAAGACCACTTTTGTTCCTTTGTTAGCAGATCTCTCCTTTGTTTTTTTCTGCACAATGCCCAGTGTTCCAAAGGGTAAAAGTAATTTATAAATAATAACTTAGTCACCTCAGGTTAAAAAGGATTTAATTGGATAAAATTAATTCAAAGACATGTGAAGTTCTTTGTTTTCAGTTTTACTAGAAAAGTCCTTTCTTTTCATTTTTTTTATTTTTACAGAATGCTTTCCATTTGACACTAACTAAGAAGCTGAATGATTTGAGGGCTGCTCAATTAAGTCATTATTACCTAAAAACAAATAAGGAAATCATTCTTCTAAAAAAAGTTTGACCCAAAGTGGAAATAATTTCATAAATAGAATGCACTATTTTTATATAAAATTATGACACTACAAAATGACTTTAGCAATAGATAGTCATCATTTAAATAGTTTTCATTTAAATAGCCTTTTAAATAGTTTTCTGTTATTCACCTTCTCATCTGGCTCTTCATTGTTATCAATAAGCAACACTTATAAGATAGATGATTGAAATGAGTTAAGTCTATCACTCTGAAATTTTGTTTTATTGGTACATAACTTGGTTACAAAGGAGTATAGCCAATTTACAAATAATAATTTTATTACTTTAGGGAAATTTCATTGCCTTCTTGTTATCACCAACTGAATTGTGTAGAACAGACACCTTTGTTTCTTTATCTATTTAGAAATTTACTGAATATCTTCTATCTGTCAAATGCCCTGCTATGAGCATTAAAAATGAGTAAGATGCTATCTGTGCCTGTAAGTTTACATTTTTAGATTGGTGTCAATTTTCTTGATGTTATTTTCAGATTGATGTGGTCCCTGAGAAAGTTTATTTGATTTATGTAGCCTGCCTAGGTTAGCCAAGATTCCTGCTCATCAGAGTAAAGTATCCAATGTGCTCTTACACAGATGCACAGTCAAAAAATGATATTTTTCACCAATATGGATGAACTTTTGAGACCATTATCACTAGATTGCTATACTGATGAAGAATTTTAAGTTCTTGGCTGAAATATGTAAATTTTATTCAGTAATGTCCTTGAAATGTGACCATCATATATAGTCATTTCTCTTTTCTGATATTTCTTAATTCTGAAGCATGAGCTAATTTAAGGAAGGCTTTCTAAAAATTTATATACTCCATCAAGACATTTGCAGTTAATATCCCCCCCCCACCCTTCATCTTTTTTGTACTGTGCTCCTAGTGGCTCCTGTTCAATTCCCGGCAGCTGTACTTTTTACTAAATACTTTATTGAACAATTAAAATAGATCTTAATTTCAACTAAACTACTTGATTCTTTATTGTAATATGTTTGCTTATACCATGACATTTACAAATTGATTTGTTTTGTGTAAAATTTGATTACCACCAAATGCTATGAAATTATACCTTAGTTCAATTTTTAGTTTACTTTGCCAACTGAAAAGAGTAGCTTGTGAAAAAAAAATCAGATGTGCTTTTTTTTTTTCTTTTCATATTTGGATAGCTATTACACATACAAATACGATCTTTAAAATAATGTTATGCCCTAAAATTCAAAGAATTACTGTGGAATACTTACCGTATGGTGATAGGGATGAATTTATTGTTGTTAATGCTATAATTAGCAGAAAGAGTCAAGATATTTTGAGAGCCTCCACATCCATATTTAGCTGTGGGTCTTCCTTCCACAAGAAATAAATGAAGGAACTGTTTTCCAAAATTACTTTCAATACCTTTAAGAACAAGCAATACATTAAAAACTCAATGTAGATATGTATTTTGATTTTAACAAAATAATCCATTCAACAAACACAATCTTTGTTTTCAAGGAGTAATGACTTACGGAATATTAATAGCACTATTAGATAATTATTTATTGTATTAAATACTATATTAGACATACATATTATTTTTTACATTATTTTTGCTGAGGATAGTAAGACATTAACAGTATTAACTTGACATTAGTTTAACTGTGTTTTCCTGGTAGCTAGATGTTCTTAGTTATTTGGAACCACAATTTCTTCAGATATTAAAATGGGACAAGAGAAACTATTAGAAACTACTGTGATAATTACTTATAAGGGTAAATAGAAAAGTGCCTGGAAAATATGGAATATTCAATAACAGATTTATAATAATAATGATTGAATCTAAGGTCTAAGCTATATTTTCTATGGTTTCCCATTTCATATAATTATTTAATTTTGATTACAAAATAATGTACATCTCTTATAAAAATTGAAATGAAGAAAAAGGTGGAAAATCCCTTGATCCATCCCAATTTGAGATATTCTTTTCCATCACCTATCTATCCACAAATAAATATTTATATATTCCAACTTTATTTTTAAGTGGTGATTGTGCTTTATTTGTGAGTTCATGAATAATTTCATTTATACATATTTCTCTTTTCACTTAAGATAAATTTTAGACATCTGTCTTTATAAGTTCATAGATGTCTTTTCTATACTTTTTTAATTGAAACATAACTCATGCAGAAAATCACACAAATTGTTAGTACATAGCTCAGTGAGTTTTCACAAAGTGAACCTGCTCAATTAAATATCACCCCAATTTAAAAAAGGAGCATTGTCTGCATTGTCAGAAGTCCTGCCAATCACTACTCATTTTTCTTTCTTTCACCAACAATAACCTCTGTTCTGATATTGAATATCTATGGTTAGTTTTGTTAATCATTAGTGGAACCATACTGTATATATTTTTATTGTCTAATTTTGCTCAATATTATGTTTGAGAGATAGTGACTATGCTACCCTTTATTTATTTTTCAGTGATTCAAAATAATATTTTGAATATTCAAAATAATATTAATATTTACAATTCAGTTCTTTCTACTACTGATGGCCATTTCCCTCCTAGTTTTTGGTTACTCTGAATAATGCTGCTATGAAAATCCATATGTCTTTTATGTTAAAGGACACACATTTCTGCTGTGTATGTATCCAAGAATTCAATTGCTTTGTCAGAAACTACGAATGATGAACTTGAGTAACTATTTTAACTCCTTTCATTTTCTCAGTATGATTATATTTACCACCTTAAAAGCGTTCCAGATGATCCATATTCTTATTATTACTATTTGATACAATCACCGGTAGATTTTAACTGTTATGTTTATTATATCTTTGGGTTTTATTTTCCAGATTATTGGTGAAGTTTGACGTATCTACTGCCCATTTGATACCCTCTTTTGTGAAATGAGAGTTTGTATTTATTTCTCATATTTCTATTTAGTTGTTTGCTTTTTCTTTATTGGAAACAAGCTCTTTGTGAACTACATTTACTACAAATATCTTCATATATTCTCTAATTCTATAGATTTTTATGTCAATACTCTTAAGGGCAAGTTTTGATAAATACAATTTCTTTAATTTTAGTGTGGGTCAATTTGTGAATTATTTCCTTTATGGTTATGAGTAGTGCTTTTTAAGTCATCTTTAAAATGTCTTTGCTGTGGGGGTAGGAAAGATGGTGAAATGAGATGGACATCATGACCCTAGGTACATGTACGACGACTGCACATATGGTACGACTCTACATTGTGTACAACCAAAGAAATGTAAAGTGGTGCTGCAATTGTGTACAATGAATCAACATGCATTTTGCTGTCATATATACTCATTAAAATAAATAAATTTAAAAAATCTTTGCTTACTCCAACTATAAATTTATTCTCTATGTTATTTTCTGTAGATTTTACTTAAGATCTACACTCTACCTAAAACTGATTTTCTATGAATGTGAAGTATTCAGATGTGGTTGGCAGAGTAAGTCCAAGACAGCCACATCCTAATTTCTGGAACGTGAGTGTTAATTTACAGTGAAAGAGAAATTTTTGTAGATCTGATTAAATTAAGGGACTTGAGATGGGAAGATCATACTGGATTATCTGTGAATAGGCCCTAATTATAGTCGCTTGTGTCCTTACACAAGAGAAGCACAGAATGATTTGTAGGCAGTTGAGGAGAAGGCTGTCACTACAGAAGTAATGCAGGACAAACCACAGAGTTAGCTGCCATCAGCAGCTAGGAAAGGCAGAGAATGGTTTTTCCTGGAGTCTCCAGAGGGAACAAGTCTTGCTGACAACTTGAGTTTAGTCCCAGGAGATGAATTTAGAACCACTGATCTCCAGAACTTAGAGTAAATTTTTTGTTTTAAGCCACTAAATCATTTGTAATTTACTGTGTTGCAATAAGATACAAATGCATTTCATTATGACGATGTGTAAAAACACAGTTTGATTAATTTCAATTCCGAATATTGCCCCTATCCTCCTGTCCTTCCTTATTTCATTCAAAATTATGGTCTCCAGTTCCATCTATTTTCCTGCAAATGACATAATTTCATTCCTTCTTATAGCTGACTAAAACTTCATGGTATGTACAGACCACATTTTATTTATCTGTTCATCTGTTGATGGATACCTAGGCTGATTTCATAACATGGGTGTAAACAGGGGTATGTATATATCTCTAAATTATGCTGAGTTTAATTCTTTTGGATAAATACAAAGCAGTGGTATATCTGGATCATAAGTTAGTTCTAGTTTCAGCTTTTTGAGGAAACTCCATGCTGATTTCCATAATGACTACAATAATTTGCATTCCCACCAACAGTGTGAGAGTTCCTTTCCCCCATTATCCTCATTACCCCTTTATTGTTTTTTTTTTTTTTTTGTATTCTTGATGATTGCCATTCTAACTGGAATGGGATGGAATTGGATGGAATTTTAGTGTAGTTTTGATTTGCATTTCCTTGATGGCTGAATATGTTGAATTTAAAAAAAAGATTTATAAATTCAAGAAAGAGAAGCATATTTCCCACGAGTGTTCTAGCAATAGAACTGGAGAGAACCAAGAATATAAATTCAGTAATAGAATCGCACAAAGCAAAACAGAATAATACAAACTTATTACATTAATATGGTAGAAGTCGGGAAAAATTGAATAAAATATCAGCATTAAAGATTTTATAATAATTAGGAATAACAAAAATCATAATGAACATGCCTGAAAATCACTGTTTTGAGATTCTCCCAAAAGTCCTATTTTAGAGCCCATGTGACTGAGGCAGGTTTTTAATCAGACTTCTGGGGACTCCAGATGTACAAAGCCCCAAATTAGCCCAGTGCCCAGCAGAAGACAAAGCAACTCCACCTTTTCCTCAGAGATCCATTAGGAGTTTCATTTTGCTTTCTACTCTAGCATTTTTCATATTTTTTTCTCATGAATTCCTATTCAATTTCTTATGCTGCTTTTCTTCGAATTTGAAAAAGAAATTCTTTGATTAAGAATTTCCAGCGTTAATTTTGATTCTTCTTTTTACTGGGGTTGGGTGGGGGCAACCAAAGCACATTTAGAAACAGGAAACTACATCAGACTCTTGTGTTTTCTTTCCTTGGCTCCATAAAAGTTCTTATCATAGGATGACATCAGGTTGTTCTTCCCTGAAATGTTGACTTATTCTCCATTTGTACCCTTCTGAGGGTGTCATGAACTGAGGGGCAGTCTATTATCCTGCTCCATTCCACCACTTTTACTCACAAGATTTTTATAACATAATATTTTTTTTAAATAAATTTCTTTACATTGCATTTCAGCCTCCTATTTTTGAGATAAGACTTAAAAATATGCTACAGAGTAGGGTAGAACAGAGCTAAACATTTAGGTCAAGCTGTTGTGCCATATGCACAAGGTTTGTTTTTCAAAACTTTCAAAATTGAATTTTAAAGACTAATTGTACACATTCAGCAAGATGTATGTAGTATCATGCAGGAATGAGTTATTTTTAAAAGATGCTCAGCCATTAAAATCAATGATAGGGATCAATAGTTTTATCCAAGTATATCAAATTCCATTATAAACCATATTTGCCTTGACACTCAGTAGAAAATAAGGCTGTTTTTATAAAGGTAATGGGAATGAAAATGGAAATAAGAAAGGTTAGTTCTCTCAATAGTCTTGCTATATATTAACAGTTTTTGACTCATCGTATTGACTTTTTCTATTAATAAGCAATTTCTTACTTTACATAATAGTACTTTTAAAGGTGTTCAGAGTGTTTTGCAGATAACATGTGATGCTAAATGGGGAAATGGAGGACTTGAGGCTACTGATATATTTACATGATTCAACATCAAATTAATCACTTCAGGGAATATAGGCCATATCATTTGATTGATCAGATTTTTCACCCTCAAGTCAATTGACTTTGTATTATGTAAGCCTAGATTCTGTAAATAGAGAAATGCTATACATAAATATTCAAGAGAAACTCTGTTTTTCACAAATAGTATTGAAGACATAATTTCAAACATAATTATAATGAAAATTATTTGTTGCATCAAGAGCCATTCTAGGCCTATTCTATCTAGGTTTGTAAGTTCTCTCTAAGACATTCATGAAATGTTGTAATCACCTAAAAACACATTTCTCAGAAATGCAGAGAGAAACAAAAGACAGAGAGGTTCACAGGAAATACGTGAGATTGCTGCTGGCCTAACAGGAAATACTGTTTTACAGTAAAGTTGTCAGAATAAATAGGAGTACATTTTAAAATAACAAAGAGTACAGTGTAGTAATGTATGAACTACTAACACAGTCATTTATTATCATTATCAAGTATTATGTACTGTTCATAGTGTACCCAGCAGTATGTGCTGTACTTTAAATGACCAGCAGTACAGAAGGCTTTTTACAC